TTTTTTTTTATCAGTAATGTGGAGTATTTATGTCTGTAGGGGGCGTTCACAATATGTATACCCCCAAAATTTCCAACTTCCCGTGAAGGCATCACTGGCCATCACCAGTGGGCGTGTTGTCTTCACCAACATGTCGGAGTAGGAGTTTCTATCAAAACTTTGCACTTAAAATTTAGTGACTGTACACGTTTACTTGGTGCCAGCTGCTGGAGTATGGCGTGTTACCGGAACGTAGATGTAGTCGAGCCGTTTCCGAGTGGTTTAATTAGCCGATTTGTAATTTTACTAGTATTTCTAAGCACAAGCTTCCCGGTTTGTGACTCTGAAGGAATCAGTCCAGAGAGGTGTCTGATATGGGGTCCGGGGCTAAACCCGGACACCGTGTTACCAGTCCGCTACTTCTTTATTCAGGCAGTGAATTCAAAAGGAGAAAACCTGACTCTGTCTCCAGGTAAATGACCACCAACGCGACATTATTAGTTCACTAAAGTCCTGTTGCAGTATTTTTAAGCTAACCTTAAACTGTTTTTGTAGCATTCTTTTGTTATTACAACCCGGTGGCTAGCAAGCTACGTTTAAAGTTTTTGGGGGGCTAATGTTAACTAAAACGTGCACGAGCGGCCGAATATGCATAACTGTTACTTGCGTTAGCACTCAAACTGTTCATTGAAATGCTTTTTGAATGTGGTGCTCAGGAAAAGACACGTTTAAAGTGAAGATCGGCTCACTGGATAAGAATGAGTACCTCCGTATCCACGTCCCTCCACCTCTGGACAGAGGAGACGGCTCCTTCCTGTTGAGGTATCGGCTCTACAGCACTGCTCACAAGGGTCTGAAGATCCAGGTCTCTTACAGAGATGCTGCTGTGGCTAGCTCACCCTACACCATCCAAGGTTAGTCAGAAAACCTGTTGCATCACCTTCTGTCCTCAGACCCTTTATACGAAGGTGAAAAATCAATTTAATGGTGAGAAATCGGGATAAAAATGACGAATTGGTTTTACATGCAAAGTTTATCTCCAGAGTGCATTGCTCTTAATTATGATGCCAGTGTTTTGCACAAAAAATAAAGTCAGGATTGATAACAGAGCCAAGAGTGGCCACAAACTAAAGTCTCACCACTCCATGGGTAACCCACACAATGAATGATGAAGATAGATATGAAAGGGACCTCAAAATACTCATCCTAGAACTGCAGCATTTATACTTAAACTCTTCCATCACGAGTCACACTGTCCACTTCATGTTGTACTAATGGAAGACTGATGTTTACTGAAGCACAGGAAGGCGTAAAGACTTAAGAGCAGAGTGACTGTCAGAGCTATTAAAATTATTTTAAAAAGAATGCGGTAAATGTTAAATAGACTGGTTCATGCAATCACTTTTGTCTACACGTAAGTGCTTTTTATTTAACACTCACACTGCGATGAACACGCTGGAGAGCAGCTTTGGGTTTGGTATGTTGCCCAATTATTCTTTGACATGCAGACTCAAGTAACCAGATGTTTCACCACCAACCTTAGATAACCTGCTCCACCTCCTCATTACAGCCAGCTCATATGTATAGAGCAGAAGAACACTAACTATAGCATTGGCATAAAGAAGTGTTGTCTTTGTGCTGCTTTGTAGTCACATTTGGGGGTGAGTGCACATACATACGCTAGATTTAACACAGCTTTACATCCAGTAACTTGTGTTTTTTTTGGATTTATCAACATTGACTGACTTCATCGACTATTACAGATATTTTGGGGTTTGTTTTTTTCAGTAAGTTGACAGCGACTCCTCATCTTCCACATTGCATTTATACTTGTATCTAACCCTGATGGCTCATTCCCATGCTCAGGTCCAGTGCATCATGAATACTGTGACTGTCCTGAGCCCGATGCCTCCGTCTGGCAGAGCATCATGCAGTGTCCCGCCGATGACCGACAGATTCTAGCTGACTTTAAGTCTTTTCCCACCATCGACCTGCAGCATCTCAGGCAGGAAGTGCCTCACAGATTCTCCAACAGAGGAGGGCTCATTCACTACGCCATCATCAACAACCACGTGTACCGGCGCACGCTGGGAAAATACACCGACTTCAAGATGTTCTCTGATGAAATTTTGCTATCATTGACGAGAAAGGTAGAGTTGTTCTGCTGTTTTTTCCATGCTATGCTGTTGCATATATATATATATATATATATAAAGTCTTTACAGTCACACAGCGATGTTCTGTTGCAGGTGAGGGTGCCTGATGTGGAGTTTTACATCAATGTGGGTGACTGGCCGCTAGAGACGAAGACGTCGGCTGCTGTTCCGATCTTATCGTGGTGTGGCTCCACAGACACACGGGATATCGTCCTCCCTACCTATGAGGTCACACACTCCACCCTGGAGACACTGAGAGGGGTCACTAATGACCTCCTATCTGTCCAAGGGAATACAGGTAACTTTGATACTCCTGAGCAAAACAGCCCTCAGTTTATGTTATCATCATTCGTATATTTCTGTCTGTGCTACAAGTTGTTAAAACTTCTTATTGAGTATCTGAGTTTGAAGGAAATTGCACTTAAACTGCAACTGGCAGGAGTAAATTATGTTGGGATGTACTTCTACACAGAGGTGTACTTTTTATTGATTTATTGCTTTTAATACTGTGCAGCAGTTTAAGACCTTTTATTGCTTTGAACTTGCCAGCGTTCAGCAAAAATAAAATAAAAAAGAAAGAAAGTGCTGCCTCTGCTGTATTTTCCCAAAATGTTCTCAAGAGCCATAAAGCACGACCTTTTTTTTAAAAATCTACAGTGTGCAAGGTTTCCTGAACTACATAATCCAACTTAGTGGGCTGTTCTTCTTCAGGCAGTATAGAGGTTGAACTCGTTGTAGAAGTATGTATGTTTAGCTGCAGCTAGTTTAACGAAGATCCAAAAGATCACAACCAAAGAATCCATCTGTGAGGGTGGTTGTCACGTTATGAAGGCAGTTTCTCCTTTGGTTTGTTTTTGTAACTGTCCACCAGAGGGCACCACAGTCCATAGACTCTATACCAGGGGAAGGCAACTGCAGACCTCGAGTGCAGGTGTCCTTCAGGTTTTAGATATCACCCTGAGCCAACACAGCTGAATCAAAAGTCATTACCAGGCCTCTGGAGAACTTCAAGACATGTTGAGGAGGTCTTTTAGCAATTTGAATCTGCAGTATTGGATCAAGGACACGTCTAAAACCAGCAGGACACTTGGCACTTGAGGCCTGGAGTTGCCTACCCCTGCTCTATACACTATATGAACAAAACCTACACATTACACCTACAGGAGCTGCTGAGCCATGTCATCAGCCTCCCAGAGCACGCTTTCTGTTTTGATGTTGATTCCAGAGGCGATTTAGGACTGTGGAGTTTTTGAGTTTGCAACACTTCTTTGTAAAAATATCACAAGGCTGTTGCAGTGGGACTGAAAACAGATGAATTCAAAGCTTTAGAGGTGTGAGCCAATACGTTTGTCCACGTGATGAATGATAGATATAAGATAGCACTTGTTTCTGCGCACAACATTCCCAATGTCGGCCGACAGATTCGATTTTTGGAGTCAGAAGCCGTTTTCATCTAAAGTCACTGTTTTTTCTAAATTGCACATTCTGCTCTTGTTTGTTAACATTTTAAAGATAGAAATGACAAGGAAGTGTTTTTTTTAATGGATTTCATACATATATTGACTCAGATTGAACTTTCAGGAAATCTGAGTAAAGTTATATAATATAATATATGAAGCAGTCAACACCTTTAGGAGAAATATGGTTATGATCTGTGAATTTGTATGTAAACGTAGACATTTCTTCCCACTCGGTAATATATACTTCCATCAGGGCCTCCGTGGGTCAATAAAACTGAGCGGGCGTTTTTCCGGGGTCGGGACAGTCGAGAGGAGCGTCTTCAGCTTGTATCGCTGTCCAAAAACAACCCAGAGCTCCTTGATGCCGGCATCACTGCGTGGTTCTTCTTTAGAGACCAGGAGAAACACGTTGGCAAAGCATCACTTGTTGGATTCTTTGACTTCTTTAAGGTAAGGAAGCTTAAAATAGTCTTTTCTTTAATAAATATAATTATAAATATATACATCCATACGTTACTCACTTCACTACAATGATTTAGTTTAGCTCCTTGATGCCTCGTCTTTATGAATAGATTTAATACATCCATAACGTGTGTATGCAACTCGTGCCACCTTGTCTTCCTCTTGCAGTACAAATATCAGGTGAACATTGATGGAACAGTGGCAGCGTACCGGTTTCCTTACCTGATGCTCGGGAACAGTCTGGTTCTGAAACAGGACTCTCAGTACTATGAACATTTCTACAGCCACCTGAAGGCAGGAACACATTACATTCCTGTGAAGAGAAACCTGTCGGACCTTCTGGAGAAGATCAGATGGGCTAAAGAGAACGACGCTGAAGCACAAGAGATCGCCAGAGCGGGCCAGGCAGCGGCCAGAGAGCTGCTGCAGCCCAGCAGGCTGTACTGTTACTACTACAAAGTGCTGCACATGTATTCAGAGCGACAGACGGGACAGCCGACACGACACGCAGACATGGAGCTGGTGCCTCAGCTGGATGACCACACTGCTCCCTGCAAATGTGAGCGTAAAAGCTACAAAGAAGAAACGGACGGGAAGGATGAACTATGACGGGCTCCGGCTTTAGTCTTTAAGCACTCGAGTCTCTTTTTCTGTGTGAAAACATTCCTGATATCTAAAGAGTGAAGATGATAACGTAATGTTCCTGATGCCTAAGGGCATGTGAATGTTCAGCATTCCACTTTAATTTTGGACAGTAGAGGGATTTTATGATAAAACCATAGCTGTCAGAAATTTTGAGATCGAGCTCAAAAACAATCTGTGATCACGTGAGCATTAATGTTTTAAAACGTGTTTTATGTTGTTGTTGTGGGAGTTTGTTTTTTTTATACCTGTTTAGTAATGGAGGAACTTGGATGAGTGTAAATGTGCCTTTAAATTGGATACTTGTGTGCTTTATCTAAACTAAAAACTTTGTCTTAAAATATTTAACAAGTGCAGATTTTTTTATGTTGTTGTGCATACAGCTGTCACTGCAGTTTCGAGTAGTCATTACTCTGTTGAATCACTAAACTACATTAGTAATTGAGTGGGCAGCGTGGTGGTGCGGTGGTTAGCACCATCACCACACAGTAAGAAGGTCTGGGTTTGAATCTACCGGCCAGCTAAGGCCCTGTGATTCTCCCTGGGTGCTCCAGCTTGTTCCCATAGTCCAAAGACCTGCATGTTATGATAATTGGTGATTCTTAATTGGCTGTAGTTGTGACTGGTTGGCTGCCTCTCACCCTGTGACCACTGGAATGGGCTCCAGCCGCACTGCAACCCATAACTGGATGAGGGGAAGAGAATAAATGGATCTGTGGAACATGTTAGTGGTCTCCTTTGATAACATTTTGAGTGGGTAAGTACATCCACTGTGTCCGCCCCTTTCTGTAGCTTAACCACTGGTCAAGCTGTACTAAGCTCTAACACCAGGATTGAAAACATGACTCTGAAGTTGTTGTAATACCTAATAGGAGTTTATTTGCATGTCACTTATCAAAATCAGCGTTATAAAATGCTTTCCAAAAACAGCATTAAAAAGGTAAAAGTTAAAATGAGATGAAAAGAGAGAACTCCAAACAATAATGAATGAAATAATAGTTAATAATAGAATTAAGAGAAAAGAGGTAAGATGAGGGGGGAAAAAGTAGAACCACATGCAGAAAGCACCACCAAAGAAGTGAAACAGATTTTCAGGAAGCGCTAAGTGGAGTTCCTCAGGCAGGTTGTTCCAAACAGCAAACATACAGTTACCCATTGGCCACTTTGTTGGGTACACCTGTTAACTGCTTGCTAAGACAAATATCTAATCAGCCAATCACATGGCAGCAGCTGATTGCTGTAAGGCATGTAGACATGGTGAAGACAACCTGCTGAAGTTCAAACCGAGCATCAGAATGGGGAAGAGCGGCGTAGTTGTTGGTGTCAGAAGGGCTGGTCTGAGTATTTCTGTTTCAATTTCTTATATGTTTATGATATAATTCTTTTTTTATATATCATATATAAGAGTCTGATATATTTATAGAATGCAGACCTGTTTTTGTAGTGTTGTGACCTTTGACCTCTTTGATACAACATAACTACGTTGCTCAGCGTGCTCGTCTTACTGTGATTCAGCTGAATTTAATCATGACAGTGATGGGTTCACCTTTATTTTTGGTCATAATTGCCTGCATCATTCCTAAAGGCGTATGGAGATACCTCAAACCTTTAAAGAAGTTCTCGATCAGAGCTCTGTCGATCCTGCATTTTCCTTTGGCCGCCTCAAAATTATTGCTGAGGACGCCGTAGATATTCACCTTGTCGGTTTTTTTCCCAAAAAACAAGAAGAGAGCGTAGCAGTCCTTGCCGATGGAGGTGCAGAAGTTCACCATTCTCTCGTACATGTTATTGTTGCTGGACTCCATCTGGGCCATCTGGATGGATTCACTGCAGGTGTCCATAGAGACCTTCTGCTCAGCCTCCTCCCTTTCAGACAGGTGCAGGACCTGCACGACAATCTGGAACTTGGGGTTCTTGGTCGGCCTCTCCAGCACTGCCCAAACCCAGTCAGCACCCAGGAGGACGCGCTGCTCAGGAGTCATGACTGTGCAGTTAAGGGTATCCTGCAGGTTGACCTCAACACTCCGAGTGATGTAGGTCATCAGGAAGACCTGTTAAAGCGTGAGATATTTCAGTAACTTCTCTAAAGCAAAATGTCTTGGTTATTGATGACGTATTTTGTTCAATATAGTGTTGCTACCTGAGTGAGCACCTCAGGACTCGGGCGTAACTTGCCCTCTGGATCCTTGAAGGTGAGGTACTCTTGGGTTCTGGCTGTAGCAGCAGAGATGCAGTTGCTGAAAAGATGTATGAACTCGTTGGGCCTGGGGACATTGCGCCTCTTTAGTGTAGCAAAGATGCTCGGTTGGGGGGATATATTATGATAAAAGGATGGTTGCCTGGATTGGCCACATTTGAAACAGGAAAACACGTTTCTCAGTGGGTTAGATGTAGGTTTGCTGAATTTTGCACCCATGGTCGACGGATGATGGGCAGCAGATCACAAGCTGGTCTCCCTGATACACTGGAAAGATAATGGTCAGATTTTGGCGAAAAATTTAAGCTGAAATGCACATACTGGTGCAAAAACATACTCAGATTTTCACATCAGTCCTAAATATAGATGAAAACAACCCCAGTTAAAAAAAATTAGAAATATTAGAGTTGGTCATTTGAGAAAAAATGAGCCAACATTACATGTGGAAAATTCCAAAAACTGCAGTTCCTCCAATGACCACTTGAGGCTGACTCCTAAAGCAAATCATCCCTCAGAGACTCTTCTATGGATAGTTTCCCTCAGATTTTTTTTTTTTTTTTAAATAAAATATTTCACATGAATACTTGAGTTAGTGGCATGGTCACTCTGACAGCTGTCCGGACACATGCAGCTGGATCCAGTTGGAGTCTGCTAGGCTTCGGTTCTATTCATTAGAATCATCAAAAACGACCTCACGACTGTGTCTGTCAGTGCCTTCTAGTTCATAACAAAGACTGCTAGTGTTAGCCAATAACTTAGCACTCTTCTCACTTCCAAATATAGTCCTCAAACCAGTGAATGACGTCACAGCAGCTACGTCCATCCATTACCTTTAGGACAGTGTTGGTTTTGTGAAAAACCAGCCCTGGAGAAAGTGCAGGCTTCCTAAGTTTAAACATAGATTTAGTTGCATATTTTTTTCTAAACAGAGGTCAAATGTCTTCACCTTTTACAGATGTGTAACAATGGATGGTTTTCTCAGTAAACAGACAACCCATATTTTGGATCCATTTGCTTAAATGGGTTTTCTTTACCTACTTTTATGAATTCTGAGGTCATATATACAGAGAAATGAAGAAACTTTAAAGGCTTCACAACCGTTTAAGCACTGCTGTGTGACTGCTATCACCTTATATTTAAATCAGTTGCATTTTTGAGGAGCAAAAGAACCCACTGTCTGTTCTGCTTTTGTCCCAGTACATGGAATTAGTGTCACTGTTCATTTATTTGAGAGCATAATTGACTCTGACACTACTTTCCACATTAAATACTGATCAGTTTCTCGTCCACCAGCACATAAACAGAAAGAGCATTGTCAATCAGTACAGATACTCACCAGGACTGGTCTGGGAGCTTCCACAGTTCCAAATACACTACATTTCCTTTCTTCTTCTCCCTCGTCCTGCTGAGATACACAGAGTCTATGTGAGTGTTTTATGGTTGTTTGTGTCCTGATGTGTAGAGAACTTCCAGCAGAATACTGAGAATTTTCTGCTGAAGCAGAGTTTCCACTGACAGTGGCAGCAAGGGTGTGGTGTTTGCATCTTGTCAAATTTTAGGTAAGTCAACAAAAGACTCATCTTACCAGTTAGCTTGGTGCAGCAGCTTGAGGACTGGGGTGAGCCTGAAGGGGTTGGCGGGTAAACAAAATGTGTAACTGTCTGCTTTTAGAAAGAAGCAGCAATGAGGACAGGTAGGCTGGGACAGCAACTTATAGTGTGGAGGCTCTCAAGGTCAGTTTAGGAAATGATAAAAGTTTCACAGGTGGAGAAATCCCAGATTTGACCAGTAGAGGTTAATGTAGGACTACAGTGAACTGTAATCCTACAAAACTGTTTAGAGGACCCAGTCTTATCATTTTTCTTTGATTTTTGTCAACCGAATATCACAAACTACTGTCCTACTGTTCCAGACTTCTACCATATATTTGGATGTGCTTTAAAAAGTTACTTGTAAAAGTAAATTTAGTAAAGTGTTCACATCACAGCTGGAGAGGGTTAAATGAACCATAGTAAATCCTGGTGTTAGTTTTGTGATCATGTTAAAATAGCTGAATAGCCATAGAAATTAAAGCCACAGAAACATAAATTTATATGATGTTTCAGAGCAAAGTCCAGGTTTTGGCCACTTTTAGTATGCTGAAAACACTGTGGGATTAAATTCTTTTACAAGCAACCAGACTTCTCTTTCCTGTGCACAATCTTTGATCTCTACCCGTAAACTTATTCCCTTGAGTTAGGGAATGAAATTAAATTCATGATGGGTGTCCTCTTTAGCCAAACTGCAAAGCTGGATGTAGTATCCAAATGTTCAGGATTAATGGAGTCAAACAACAATAATTTAATATTTTGTCCATCTAATTTATATTGTAGTAAATTAAAAAAGTTATGTTTCATGATTGAAATAATGCAGCTTGTTCATTTTCATTAAATTTTAATTATATAGCTCCTGTTCACAAAAGTATGGGTCTTCAGGTATTTAGCTTAACCCCACGATCAGACAACACACAACTCACTTAGAGCAAGCTCTGAATGAAGGTGGGGAAAAAGAACTTCCTTTTAACAGGAAGAGACCTCCAGCAGGACCAAGCTCAGGGAGGGGTAGTGCTCTATCATGGCCAGTACTACTTTGAGGCAAAAGAGGAGTTTCAACAATTGTTTGTTCCATACAGTCATTTAGGAAGCATTGGTAGTTCTTGTAACTTCTTTATTTCAACATATGATATGTAGCATATTTCTCTGCAGAACAATAGAATGACAATGTTGAGGAACCAGCTCCTTCTTCTTCTTTGGCTGCTCTGCTCTTAAAAATGGCTTCAACACCATTTTTGATGGAATGTCCAGTTTGTCCATTCTAAACTGCATGTTCACTGCTTTGCACAGTCCTCCCCAATGAAATACCAGCACAGTATTTACAGTACACAGTGGTCAGTATGCTCATTAAAAGCTACATTGCATAGGGAATTAAGGAAAGCAGTAACAAAAAAAAAGTGTATAAATAACTGTTCAATTCAGCACATTAGAAAATAAAAATAAGACCTTTGATTGTTGTCAAAATGTGTAGGTCAGTTTGTGTTTCCCAGTCCTCTGTGCAGGAGTTAACTTGAGGTATCAGGGGCTAGTAGAAGTAAATACAAGGAGCTCCACGCTGCAGTGTTAGCTTGAGGGCTGAGGTACAATTCAGCTGTGAGACAGGTCGCTACAGGTCTTTGTGGTTGATTGACAGCCTACAACTTAGGGTCATCGTCCTTCAAACTAGCGCCGTCTGTGAACGCCTCATCTCCTTCCGCAGCTCATCTCGGCTGAGCAGATACTGGGGGCAGAGCATCATGGGAGTGGCAATGGGTTAGAGAGATTAGAAGTTAGTGTTTGCTTCTGAGCTGGGGTCAGTATACTTTACTGAAATGAGAACATCAGATCCGATGTGAGATTGTTTTATGACATGTCACAAAGGAGAAGCATAAGTGGAATTTATAAAATGAAGATGCCCAACATGAAGATGAATCTGTAGGAAATCCTCAGACATGGCTACCTTGAATGTGTGACACTAACTCACCTTAGCAAATATGAACATTATTAATGTTTGTAAAAAGACTGTGCTTTTCATTCTATGACATCTTAAAAGGTCTGCTGTGAAAAAAAGTATGCCTTGGTTATCGTCTCTCTGCTCTCTAGTGCAATGGAAGCTTGTTGATTCTAATTACTGTGATTATTTCAAATAATAAATCTGAGGTTTAAATTCGCCCTTCCTTGTTCTGATGTAACTCCTGCAGATTCTTGGACTTAAAATTTAACTTCAAATAATAAAAAGATATGAATAATGCTCAAATTTCTTTTTTTACCAAGATCGTCACTGATGTACTGACGCTGCAAACGTGTTATCAAACATCTCAGACTTCAGTTACTGTCATGATTTTCTTGACTTGAACGAACAGAACAAATGCTAAAGAACCAAGCCTGGCATCTGGATGATAGCCGCAAGTAATAAAGAAGCAAGTACCAGCGAGCAGGTTTCACACTAGCAGCATTGCTTTAATTTGTACACAGACACAAGACGTGGTGTTTTAATGGCATTTCCATCTGAGTATCTGCAGTTTTCCATCTGAGTGACTCAAACTTCTCTTACAGCAGACTACAAGCAGATTCCCAGTGAGCGAATCAGCTGCACAAGTCATTAGGCAGCAGCTTGTGTGTGTTGGCGCTTACTGTGAGGTTGTTGATGCTTTCAGAAAGAGCTTCTATTTGCAAAATGGTACCCTCTGTGGTCGCCATCTGCAACACACACGCACACACACAGATTCCTTATAAACTCATTACAACTCACAATTACAGGCTTACTATCATCAAAACAATATGTTTCTTAAACCTTTTAAAATTACCGTAGAAAGATATGAAAACGTGCAACAGATCACTGATAATGAGGATTGTACCTGCAGCTGAGTCATAGTCAAACATGCACTTCCCATGTCACCTTTAACAGGGTTACCATGGTGATGATCATCAGCCATCTTGGCTCAGACCGCTCAGCCGAAGGGGGGAAACGTGGCGTCATAAACAGCAATGACAGCCACTGTGATGGTGAGAATGGAGATGATGATGATGATGATGGAAGCAGGTTAGTGCTTGATGTAGGTTATTAAGGCATGCTGCTGCTCGTGGCTCCGCCCAGCAGCGTAGTCTGTTACTTTATCTTACAGAAATACAGAATATGCTTCCTGAGGAATTCAGTGTTTTCCACATGAAGTCACCTAACTCTTAGTTTGCGAGTTCAACCACATTAACAAGCAGCATGCTTTGACATTGGCAAGGTAGCCGGGTCACTGTTGTTGCTGTCTTGATGTCACTGAGCTATTCTCCAGTCAGTCTCTTGTTCCCGCGGTGAACAGATTCCAACTCTACCACCTTGGACTGCTGGTAAAGGTAATCCCTGTTCTAAACTGGAAAACTGCTGTCAACTGGAAGTTGAAGCAGAGGGACAGCTGGTTCTGGTTACTAACCTGAACTTACTGCGGTTATATGCAGCAAGCCAGAAATGCCAAATATCACTTTGTGAACTGATGATGTTACAGAGCAGAACAAGAGCTGGAGTCACTACATGCGGTAAATTTTGAGTCCTTACATAGAATGAGAAATTGACTTTAATGGCAACAATTTATGGCTCTTATAAGTTAAGACAGCATGGATGTTCCTCCTTTTGCACGTGCAATCTACCTCTGTGGGAAACACTGAAAATGTCCAGTACAGGCCCCTATAACGATGTACAACTAAAAACTAAATAAATAAAGGACATTGAACATTTTACACATCTGCTTCTACTCTGATCATCAGAAAGAATGAATCAACTTTGCTCATGTCGGATTTTGTTTATTAAATGATTTGATAAACCACACGTTAGCTTCCTTTCTTTGCTATAAAAATACTATTACAGTCAAATATGAAAAATAACGGTACAAAAATCACCACCTCAAGTTTCAAACAAAACATGCTATTTTATGATTTTCTCTGCAATGATATAAATAAAATCCCTCCATTATTTTATGTAAATATTGCACAAGTTCATCTCGACCATGTAACAGAACTGCATTCAACCTGGTTAGAAAAATCAAAGGTCACACATAAAAAATAATCTACTGGTGGTGCACACATGTTGGCTTAATACTGTACAAGAAGACATGTCTGTATATGCTGTATGGATTACAGGAAGTGATGTCACAGGAATCCAGAGAGAGGCTGTGTTCTCTCGTGATGAGTTAGAGTCATGGCACAGGTTTGAGGCTGAGGTTGGGTTAGTTAGGCATCGGACCGGAGCTGAAATCAAAATACTTGAATTGTGCTCGTCTCAGGACTCCCTGCAGCGTGACAAGCAGCTGACTGAGAAACAATCTCTAAATGTAAGGCACAGGGTCGGGCTGATGGGCGGGGCTTAAAGAAGCACATCAGGGGATGGACTGAGGTATTATGGGCTGCAAGCAAAGGAAGCAGAGTAGTAGCAGAGATAGCTGAATGGCTAATAGACAGGATGACAACAGTCATCCGTGTTGTTGGCGTTACAGTTGTTGCCATGGAGATGGGTCGGCTCCGCTATCTTCTAGCCCCACCTGGTCCCTGGAGCGGTCGGGCTCTCGGTCTAGGATGGGGCTCAGGCCTCTGAAGCCAGTGTAGGGCCGCATCTGCACCCCGTTCACTGCAGACTGTCCCGACTGAGGCGAGGAGGACTCGATGGGGCAGACATAGTCTGTAGATTCATCCGGCCGTCTCCTCCTGAGGTGAGTCAAGTTAGAGAAGCCCAACTTCTTCGGCTGCAGTGAAACAGGAACAAAAGCATCGTCATGCTGTCACGCTTCAGCAAAGCAACAGTGACTGCTGAGAAGACTTTTAATGTTAGAACAATGTGACTAATGATAGGCTCTACAACAAGAAGCAACACGTTTAAAGCGTGCCAATCACTACTCCTACATCAACAATGCCAAGAAGAATGATTACCCAACTCACTGATGGGATTTTCTTTACTGATTTGCCATCATTAACAGCTGCAGGCAACTATTTAAAAAAATCTTTGATAAAACTACACGTCGCGTGTCAAGCATCAAACCACATAAAGATTTGGGGCTAGCAGCTGAACTTTATGGAAGATGCAGCCGCCTGTTGAGGACTATATGGAGACCAAAACAGAGCTAAAAGGAGATTCCTTAGATGTTGTAGATTAAATGTTATTGTTACAAGTTATTCAGATGCAAACTGGAGATCTTAACACCAACACTACAAAGGGGTGGACTCCCAGTCCTATGCACAAAAACTACAGCAAGGACAAACAACTCTGAGAGCTTCCTTGATCAGATTTAAATCAGGTAATAGGGTTTTTGGTTCCCTGGTTCTTTTGATCACACCTTGGAAACTTGAGATGCACTAAATATCTTGAATACTTGTAATTCAACTGATACACTGCACTGGTATTACTGCCAAGTGAAAAGACCAGAGCAGCATGAAAGGGAAGCTGGCATTGCAGTGGGCTGCAAAGGAGCTTGCAGCTAAAACGCTATTTCTGAAATGCAGGCTGACACTGAGATCAAAACAATGCTGTGCTCAGTTTTGTTCCATTTCCTGTAATCACATCTGTATGGATTTCCCTAACATCTGCTCTTTTTTGTGTTTAGTAGATGTGAATGAGGGACACCGGGCAGCGACACACAACAACATTCATCAAATGTGTCCTCTAACATCTGTGATATCGTCACAAAGCACTGCTGGATTTTGCTTCATAGCTGGCTCATCTTGAGGGGAAAATCTAACATAACAATAACAATTTCGTTTTGGGATTTTTTTCCCATCCACAGTATTATATACCTCCACATAAACATCCGTATACATACTTCCTGCATTAGATGTAGCTTAAGAAATTTAAGATCTAAGTGTCCAAGATCATAAGTGGATCAAATGCAAGCGTAAATTCTCTTATGATGAATTATTCTTCTATTATTACTTAATTATTTTCTTCAAGAGGCACTTTGAGCTGACGCTGTGGCTGATGGCTGAGTCTCAAAGATGTGAGGAGCAGCAGAGCAGTTCTCACTGGCTTAAACTTTTGGAAGAGCTCGGAGATTAAACCGAGCTGACACACTGAGGTCTCACCGTGGATTAAGGCGCTTTTCTCACACTTGCAGGGAGAGGGAAGGTGTTAACTGGTCTCTTATGATGCCTTATTTTACCTACTGCCTGTGCTACTCTCAGCTTTATAATTGAGTCTTTTCTTATATTTTCTTACCTTGACTTTAGCGGTGATGCTGAGTGGGGAGTATCCTGTCGCCTCAGTGTACTCCCTCTTCTCCTGCTGAGCCTGTGCTCCTACTAGGTTGTTGAAGTTGGTGGTTAAGTGGCGCCTCAGCAGAGTTTTCTGAGGAGGGATGTTCAGCAGCATGGCCAGGCTATCAGAATTAAACCGAGGCTCCAGCATCTATTTGAGGAGAAATGATGTCAGATGCTTTTTAAATTCTTGTTTTCCATTTTGCTCCAGATGCCGGCTGCTTTTATGTACTCACTACCAGCCCTCCATGCACGCCGCTGCCCCTCAGGTTTGGGGCATACTCTGCAAGGTCCACAGATCTCAACCACTCCATGACTCGGTGGTTAGACCACTGGACAACCTCACTGGGAGTGAACTGGCTCTGTAACACACACAAATGAATGTATTTTTTGTTCTAGTTTGACTTTTTAACAGTTTCCCAGCCTTACAAAGTGATGTTTTCTGGCAAATTTTGTTTGCACGAACTGATTAAAAAAATACAAACCAACATAGTTATATAAACTGTACTCAGTCTGCATGTGCAAATGTGGCACAAGTGGATGTCCCATTCTGACCACCAACATGTGCATCTGTGAGCAGGAATCTATGAACTTAGCTAACTCTGATGTGACACCATGTGATGCCACACACACATACAGGTAGTCAGAACAAGGACTTCCACAAGCGATGACCTTGAACGGGTGATCAAGTTTTTGACTTTCATGGATGGAGTCTTTATGAAAAATGCGTGAGGTACAAATACAATGTACAAAAAGAACTTACAAAGAAGAAGACAGTGGATCTGATTTGAAGTTTTAATTTAAGAGTTCACTCACTAATGGCTCTTTTGCCATCTTTGTACTTTGCCGTATAAATGAGTTAACAATACCTCATTGCCGGGCCTGCGTTTGAGGCAGTTGGGATTGAATTTGTTGACATGGAGAACATGAATGGCACACTTGATGCTGAGGTGGTGCAGCTGGCTGGTCACTTTAAGGAATAATAAGTCGTTCTAACATGGAGAGCAGAGACAGATACAAGAAGGGAAACATGTCATACATCCCTTTTATTTTTGGGCAACTGAAAGCTCATTCCCCCCATATGGTAACGCTGATTTAACTTCACATGAATTGATTAGTTACAAACTCACCACAGTGAGATACTGCAGCATCTGCCCATCCACTCTTCCTTCATTAAACTGGTCTTTGTACTGAGGAAGGCCAATATCATCAAGCCAACCTGGAACAAAGAACATAACTGTTTTCTCGGAGATTTTCCCATATGTGTGTCTGTGCATATGTGAGAGAAAGAATCCTTTACATACGGGTAACCCAGAGGTAATCGAGCTCTGCAGATTTTTCAGGCTGTTTGCTACTGATCGCTTTGATGGACAACTGAAGCTTCTTCCTGTGGAGTGGATTCTTCATGGCCATCTCCTGTGGACAAAGAGAAACGATTGGCTTTTTCCTCCTGTTACAGTTTAGTCAAGTCAACCAGATTTAAAAGCAACATTGGTCAAAGTGCTGTACTACCAAAAAAGAAAAACACTCTTTCGAATATCAAAATTAATAAAATCTTACAAATAAATAAAAGCAAATGTTGAGGCTTAGATTAAAAGCCAGTGTTTTGAATGGATTTTAAAACATTTCCAGTGTTGATTAGGTTCTGATGTGAACAGGTAAACCACAGTTTAAAAGCGACAGCAAGGGTCCTGTCGTAAAGGTCCTTCATGATTTTATGTGGCTAGGCAGCGATGTTCTGGAGCAGCTGCAGATGTGAAATCAAAGACTTGCTTACACTCAACTATTGCAGTAGTCGCCAAGTAGTATGGCAAAATGCTACAACTCCCATGCCATCAAGAGTGGGGAGAAGGTCTGAACAACAGAACCTCTGCTATCTCTTCGTAAAGTCTAATGACATCCATTTTTAGCGTGTACGATCATCAAAGGTTGTAACATTACTGTAGCATCAGTGCATCGTCTGCATAGTGAAGCATAGTGCTGGAGCCTATCCCAGCTGTCATAGGGCGAGATATACCCTGGTTGCCAGTCTGTCTCAGGGCTAGCACACAGGGACACCATTTGCTCTCACATTTACTCCTGTGTTTTGGACTGTGGGAGGAAACCACGCATGGGGAGAACATGCAAACTCCACACAGAAAGATGGTGGAATTGAACTCAGGACCTTCTTGCTGTGAGGCAACAGTGCCAATGACGTGCCACCGTGCTGCCCGTGCTGCAGCAACCCTTTGTGAATAAAGCAACAGCTTGAAGTAGCTTCTTCTACTGCAAAAGTGGTTAAATTAGCAGATAATGTGGAGCACCCATAAATTAGTAAACCTGCAAAATATGAATTCAATCATTGATGAAATGACTGACAATCTGACCATCCATCCATCCATCCATCTTCTTCCGCTTATCCGTGGCCGGATCGCGGGGGCAGGAGCCTAAGCAGAGAAGCCCAGACCTTCCTCTCCCCAGCCATCTCCTCTAGCTTGCCTGGGGGAACATCAAGGTATTCCCAGTACACCCAGGGGGTGCCCAGGAGGCATACTTGTCAGATGCCTGAACCACCTCAACTGGCTCCTTTGGATGTGGAGGAGCAGCAGCTCTACTCTGAGCCCCTCCCGGATGGCTGAACGTCTCACCCTATCTTTCAATCTGACTATCTGATGGTAATTTCATTGAATTGAAATGATTAAACTAACCTTTTAGTAATAAAAGCCATTCAAGTTCTGGTTGCACCTAAATTTAAAGAAATACTGCAAGCCACATACCATAAAGGACAAACCTGAAAAGTATATTCAAAGACCCACTTTCTATTAAAAAGATGAAGAATTTAATGAAGAACAACTTAAAGAAAAATAACAAAATGGTCAAAAACCATGTTAAACACAGTAGATAAATAAACAAACAGTTGTGTACTCCTAGCAGAAGGATATATAAGGTGAGGTATTTAAAAAGAAAAACAGAAACTCCTGATACGGCGATCCAAGGTTTGACAGTTTCCATGGATCACAGTATCAATATAGATTAACCTGAAGAAAGAAACAGAACTGATCAAAATGATCTGGAGGAGACGCAGAGAAAGGTTGGAGGTGGAGATGAGGTGTATGATGTGACAGTGTTGAAGGCGAAACTAAAGAGCTGGTTGAAAGGCAGAGGCAGGCGTTACTAAAGACCAAACAAACAGACAGACGGCAACAATGATCAGACAGGTAGAAATGGAAAATATGTGACAGGCTGTATGGAAAACCAACACAGTGTGATTGTGTGTGCCGGTTGTCTTAGAAGCATCACTTTAGGAACCACACTCTATAAAGCAGTGATTTGTGCGTTTGAGTGTGTATACCTTCTCTAGGTCTTGTGGCGTGGCTGATAGCAGAGTCTGACCGCTAGTGACCCACTGGCGAGCGAGGATGCTGTACTGACCTAGTCCAATGTCTTCAATCCAGTCACACACCTGCTCTGTGTTCCACTTAGAAAATGGCGTCTTCAGATCTCTGCATAGGAACAAAACACCAAAAAGTGAACCGTGCACCTAATCACTCCTATTCACTTTATTAATATAGATATTTTATTAATTAATATACCGTGTTTTCCCTGGACGGGCCAATCGAGGTCCAGCTGTAGCTCTGAATCCTCCCCTCTTGAAGTCTCCTAGCTCTGGGTCATGAACTTGGACAGGACTACCCGACTGACTGCGACGGATCCTTGCAGACAGAAATGAGAACATGAGTATAAATATAAAAAGGTTAGGACACCAAACATGCTGTTAAGTGTGTGCTCTGTATATCCTTAAAACATACTTCCCCCAGAGTTTCCTAATTCCTCTGTGACCCTTCCTGTTCTCTGGTGAGACAGGAGACTGCTGTCCAGAGTCCACTCCAGAGGACAGCGGGGACTGGTCTGATGGAAAGCACTCCTCCAGCTTCTCTGAATGCTCTGCCACAGGAAAAAAAACAATGAGGAGGGGAATCACTGCAGGAACCTGAGGGGAGCTCTGGGATCCAGAGTATCTGTGTTTCCTGCTATGGACCAGAACAACATGAACATCTGCTGCTACAAATTAAATCACACATACGGGAGATTGTTCTGTTTGGAAAATTGACCGTCTCACATTGAGATTTTTCATACATGCAATAATAAACCACTCTTTGTACAGCACTACACCTTTTATGTGCACCAGACAAACAGTTTGAAATTCCCAGTAAGGTCCTCTATTTCTGATCACAATATTAAAGCTCCTACTCATACCTATAGTCACTGTGCTGGAATTACTTTCCTGGCTACTTCTACTTCTGCTGGTACTATGACAGGATTACTAATGGGACCAATAGGTCATAGACTTTGTGTTTAAGCAAATATTCTTTACTAAAACCTACTACAAATAGTCAAAGGACAACTGAGATTTAGGATTACTTTAAAGAAATCCCAAAACACAGCACAAACACTACACATCCAAAGACAACACAAAAGTAACCAAGTGACCACAAAGACACAAGAGAACAATTGCAAAAAGAAGGCTCTATACACAAAAACAGAATTTCACTACAAAAGAGACACGAATTTGTGTCTGAGAGAGAGACAGGACTACCTTAGAGAAGACAAATAACCATAAAGATTTGCATCCCAAAGTGACCGCAGAGATGCTAAATTGCTGCAAGAAAGGCTTTAAACAAGGCTAGAAACAAATCTGAGATGTCTGCAAAAAACATAAAAAAACACAAAGAAACAGGAAGATGCACAGAGCAGCTGGAAAAAAGACACCAAAGGAAAACAGCTACTAAGTGACACAAAGACATAATCGTTAGAAAAAGACTCAAAACTACAGTTTGTGTGTCTTTCTCCTATGTTGGAGTGCTTACTGTGTCAGAATTCAAATGTGGCTGTTAAACTGTCCAATATTTGACAGTGCTACATAAAATGATGCAGATAACCTATTTAGCCCCAGAAACAGACAAGCTGGCAAATTCTCCTCAATAGGTTTGTAAGACCCCTACACTTAGGGGTGAAATGATATACCCACCAACATCATAGAGGTCATGTTTTCCAGGAGATCCTGATGCAGAAGAGGTTAGTTAAGTGAGAAGGATGCAAGCAGAAAAAAAGCAGAAGGCATTATTAGTCAAAGCGTCTTTATCGCCGAAATAAATGCTGAATACATGTTTGATTGCAAAGCAGAGCTGTTGACGGTTAAGTCTTTAGAAGTACTCTAAATTACTGCTTCAAGCCCATTACTCTAAATATCTGTCTCAGTTAATATGCGCTGACCTCTGAATATGCATGCTAGTCCATGCTACATCTATCCATCCTATCTGCCACTCAGCGGTAGGATCAAGAATATCTGCCCAAATACTCTAGAACCAGAAAACGATTTTCTAAGAGAAGTGCAAAATATACAGAGTTTCTTAAAAGTCCCTGAATAAGAACAGTAATGTATTTTAAATAGTGCTCTCATAGACTGTATAGAAAGGATGGACACAGCCAACACAGTACCACAGACTGGTTAGTGCAGCCTTGTTGTGAAGGATCAAAGTGAATGTTCTCCCCACAACAGTCTTCAGATTGTGAAACCTATTTGAAGCAGCTACCTTTTGATTTTGAACACTTGCTCCTTCAACAGGGACCATCAGCTGTGGACTGTGAGCGAGTGCAACCCCAGTGAGGCCACGAGAGCGAGTGGGAGCGGATGTCAGATTGCATCCTTCTTTGTTTACTTTGGGGTGTTTTAGCTAGTTGAACTTCATACATACTTAAGCTTGCACTCCTCACCCTCTCGCAGTCCTCTGATTACCCTCCTGCCTTCTTAAGCTCTGGCTCTGTGTACGCAGATATACGGGTGGCCGTGTGCTTTTATGCCTATTAGCTTTAAAGCGTATGTTTAATTCAGCAAATGCTGATGCGAGAGAGGCGGGCATTATCTTCGACAGCTCTCTGAGTCATGAGGGAGTCCTAATAATCCTGGGCTTTAAAGCTGCTTCATCCTCAGCGAAAACGGCTGCTCACCCTGACTCCGCTCACCTCTCAGAAAATCTTGTTTTGCTCACAAGATAGGTGATGCTTTTGTTTGCTCAAAGAGGCTTTCTCTCAGTGACTTCACAGTCACAGAAACACTGCGCTTCAGTTCTTCTGAAAGTGTATTTTCAGTGTTGACATTTGCATTTCTGTGAGGGCATACAGTACCTAAAACCGGAGCACTGGCACTCCTGCAGCGAACTGCAGTCAGAGCACAAACAGGAGACAAGAGCAATCCGACAGCAGAGCAGGCATGAGGAGGAGGAGAAAGAAAAGGCACAGAAAGGAAGCAGTGGGCGAAGAGTTAGTTGACAAAGACAAAAAATATTTTTGTTTTGTTTTGCTTTGCAGTGCCAAATGATCTGTTCACTAAAATCACTTGCTTTATATTCCAAGGAAAAGTTACACAAGAGGGGAAATATGCATGTTGGCTTTCTTGTAAAGCTAAATAAGATGTGTACGGTCACTATGAAGCTACAGCCAGAAGGCTGCTTGATTAGCTCAGCCGAATAAATGCATTCCCCAAAATATACAAACATTTAAATTTTTCCCTTGAGTGCAAGGTCATGCAGATTTTTTAGGTTTAAATTACAAAGAGCAAGAGACCTGCATTTGAGATTTCACAGATTAAAACATGGTGCTTAACAGATACAACACTCACTCAGACTGTAGTCCTGGCTGTGGCTGTGGACAGGCGAGAGCTGGACGGGAGATAAATACTCTCCGTCTCCGTCGCCGTTCAGCTCGGCCCGCGGCTCGTTCTTTTTACTCAGTTTCCCCGGCAGAGTTTGGTACTTGTTCAGCTCCATGTGGGGATTCTGTACAATATAAAAAGCAAACAGTGTGTTACTCTTTCAGCCAAGTCTGGCATCACATTCCAGATATAATCTTAAAATGTATACAATTCAATAAATTCACTGCAGCTTTGAATCTAAAATGATTTTCAGACACCTCTGACTCTAACAAAGTGGACACCTTAATCTCTGTAGTGTTGCTATGTGGCTCCGATTCTCTTTTTTTACATTCTTCTTTAACTACACTGAAAGTTAGTGGCTTTACCCGATGGCTTTCATAAGATCACAGCGGGGCCGTGAGGTGATTTGTGTTTTTCCTCTGTTGCATAACCGTCTGTCCTTTAGACAGTGAATGTCTGATGATGCTGGAATATAACCGCACATTAAAGTCATCGGGGTCTGAGAGAATAACTGGAGAAAGGCCAGCAGAAAGAAACAGCTGGGAGGCAGCTGTGATGTCAAGTACTAGCGACAGCCACTTCAGGTGGGTCTTGGCCCTTTTGTGTGTGTGTGTGTGTGCGCGTTTGTGTGTGTGTTTGTTTGTGTAGACGCAGTATGATTATACGATTATATATTGACTATAATGCACTGTGAACTTGTCATGCTGAGAACAAGAGGTCAGAGGGCACCAGGACAGTTACATCACTGTTTGCTATAAAGCACAACATTACTACACATTCTAGCAGTTTATAAGTGGCCTCACAGAAAAGACGACAACGCTGTGAGCTTGTTTTTGTCTATTATATCCCTCGAACATATCACTAGGTCATCAGTCATTACTTGTTGATGTAAGTGCATCGGGTCTATCTAAGAGATGCTTTGCCTTGTGTGGATCTTTTTATGCAGCCATATAACTACTCACACAGAAACTACTCCATTACTTTTTGCTTTTCTGTTACATCTCTCAGTACTCTGCCTCTTTCTGTATGACGAACACTCTGTGTACTTTCAATGTATGATAATTAGTATGTTCAAGTCTTAATTCATATGGCTTGATACTAATTAGTATGTCCCCTTGCCCTTGATTGGCTCCTCCACTTGCCTGTCCAGCTGCTGCCTCCTTCCCCTGCACCTGATTGGTTCCACAGTACAACGTTCTTTACTGCTTATTAAAAGATCATTTCACCCTCCTGCTAGAGAGCTGGCGTCCAATCTCTACTTAACCTTTATTTATTAAAGTTACTTTTTTTAAAGTTAAAACTTAGTATTAAAGTGTTTCCTGTTATTTGTGAAACATGTATAATGAGGATAGATGACTTGCTGGCATAAACAAAATAATGCGAACCTGTTAGAAATCACTGAATAGGATAGAAGAAGGAGCGCATCATTCTAGACGTTTTAGACTATTTGTTTACTTATAATAACTACAAAATAACAGAAAATTTAGGAACTCTTAGAGGAAAGTTGCCCATTACCTGGACAAAAACAGTCACAATCACATTTTATAGCCATATATAGTATCTTTAGATACAGTTTCTTATCATTAGGCGGGGGGGGGGGAAGTTGGTCATGAAGATTAGTTAAGGAAGGAGAGAAGGAAAGTGGTCGTAATATATCCATGTGGCCGCTGTAATAACAGCTGTCTGAATTCTCTTAATACTGAAGAGAAGGTGCTTCAGTGCTTCATTTGTTGCCTCATTTAACAGAGGAAACCCTAATCCACCCTTTCTGAAAGGAAAGGTGATCATCTTGACAATTCAAAGCATCGCACGTCAGACCATTCACAACAATAAACGATCAAAGTAACTGACGTTTGGTGCAGATTATCACATAAATAAATCCTGCTTTCTTATTACATAACATGCAAATATGTGGATATGTTTTAGCCCAAAGCTGGACTATGAACCACTCTGTTAAAATTCTTGCTTTAATCAAAGCAACGACTACAAAGGATCATCTCTTTAGTCGGAAGAGAAAATACGAGTGGACAGCAGGGTGAGATTTCCTGCGGGGAGTCTACACAGGAGAAGATTAGTGATGTAGTAGAGACGAGAGACCACAGAACGTATGAACCTGTAGTTTCGCCAAGTAAGATAGCCAATGTGATATGAGCAGGTGGTGGCGACTACATTAAAGGGTTACCTGCAGTAAGATTCACCGGGTTGTTCATTTTTATACAGCCTGCATAAAACAACAAGGTAAAAACAGACAAGGCAAAGTATCCAATATGTGTTTGAAGCTCTTTTTGTGCCACGCCAACATTTTAATGAGCAGTCGGATTCTCTTTTCCTTATGAAATTACATCTTCCCCTGACTTCACGGTGTTTTCCATACAGGTCATGGAAAAACTGATTAGGAGTCATTTTTTTTGACTATTTGGCCACAGCCCAAGTCTTGTTTATATTTTGATTTATTTCATCTTCTTTACAAAAAATATATACTAATCCTGCAATCTAAAGATGTATAATGAATACATGGGATTTGTGTAGCTAAATGTGTGACATCATGTTGCAGATCAGTACCTCGGCCCCTACATCTGATTCACTTTCAAGTGGCTGGATCTCTACAGCCTACAGCCAACAGAGAGACGGGAGAGACCAGAGAACACACACACACAAACCCAGAATTAGAAGGTTAGCAACCACACAGTCAGATTAACAGAACGTTAAAGATTAGCTAGAAAGGACTGATTTAAAGTACTTCTTAGTAAGCAGATGTGATAGGCTGGATTAGATAGAGATTAGTATGTTTATATTAAACAAGCGAATTGTGGAGGCAAACACTAACAGACCTTTTGTAAAGATCCACTCTGCAACTCTTCAAGACTGCTGGACATCAACCGGCGTCGATGCCTGCAGAAAAAATATTGTATCACTGACATCTGGTTAAGCAGACGTACACTTTGAATGTGCTTGTACTGTAGCAGGGCTTACCAAGACCCATTAAACAAACTTGGGTCAGCAGCGGACACCAGCGATGTCTCCACAGAGTTCTGGAAACTGCAACAGACACCGCACAGAGTTAACTCAGAGTCTGGCGTTCATTCATCGCGTACAGTACGTGCGCTGCACATTCATACCTGAAATCCAAATCCCTCTGATACGGCGATGAGGACAACATAAGCGGTGACGATCCTCTTGATGACAGCTATGAAGGAAAAAACATTTTTTCAAAGCATTTGTGGAAGTGAGATTATTAACCCAATAATTCTTTGACTTTTATTTAAAATTTCTTGTGAATCCTACCTCTGATCTGAGGATGTCAGAGTGTGCTTTGTGAGTGATGGCTTTGAGCTTTAAACTGCCGCTCAGCTCCTCTTCACTGCTTCCTGGTAGATAGAAACCAAAACAATTGGCGGCATAGTGACGTTAGAGAGAAAAGACAGGTTTCCAAGCAGAAGCTCACAATACAGAAAAAGGAAGCTCACCCTGCGTGAGTGCCATGACCTCCCTCATCTTTCTGTATTGGCTGAGCAGAATGGTAAGCTCCTCTATACGCCGATCCTGTTATCACCAAGGCAAAAATGGTCATTCTCTTTTTATTTAATCTTGTTGTAAATGATATATATTGTAGCAGTGGCAAAAATGATTTCATTACCTTCTCGTCATTTGAAGCCAACAAAGACTCCATCCCCACCTTTAACCTCTGGTATTCCTGGTCTAACAAAGAAGACCAAGAAGTTAAAAAGGATCCTATTGTACCCTCACGCTAGCTAGTTAGATCAGGGCAGCTGATGGGTGCACGAAGCGGTGCTGGTGACAGACACGAGAGCCGTGCAAATAGGACTAATCAAGCAAAACAAATACATGCTGACAGCACAACTGCCCATGCAGCATCACCTGGGACACACGTGGAAACTGAGCATTGTCAACAGCACCATTACCGAGAGAAGAACTAATGAGGCTTGCATCAGTATCAGCCACACAAACACAAGCCGGCACCAGATTTCATTTAACATCCTTTCAAATGCAGAAACTTATCTAAATGGGATTTTTTTTGTTTATTCAAACGACTCAGCTTTGAAATGATATGCATGTCATCGGTGGCTTTAGAGCAGCATTTATAAGGCAACAAGAAAGCAATTCTAATGAACTGCAATATGACAATGCCAGGAGGAAAAACAAAGCACAAAATGTCAGGATACTGCAACGCTCTCTGGTGACTCCTCCTGCAGGAATCAATAAACTAGTTGCATAGTTTTATCTACTACTTGTCCCACTCTCTTCTGAGATTTTCTTTAGATGACATGTTTGTATTATAGTCCTCTCAATGTGCTTGTTATGTTCTATTTACTCAGATTTGAATCTATTTTTTTACATGCCTCACTGTGTGCATTTATCAGCGTGTTTGTGTGGTACTTTTATACTGTACTTTATATTCTATGTGTTCTTCCCAAACCGGAAGGCACTTTGGGTGAACTCCTGTTAAATAACGATGATTCGATGTTGTATAAGAAGTTTGCACAGGACAGTGGACGCTGCATAGCCTGACACTCTTCTGAGTCTTTTTGATTTGAAAGGATGTACAGGCTCACATCACAGACACACACACTGAAGCTTAGCTGTGGTCCAATCTCAAACCAAACATCCACATTCCCGATGAAGAGACTACTTAGCCTCGACATTTAAAGTGTTTCCCTGTTTGGTTTTAAGTTTCACATTTGAGTCATAAATGACCAAAGCAGAAAAATCCAGCTGTCTAGGAGGTTGCTTAGAAATTAGCCCCATTAGCAACATAAATGCCTTACATTTGTTAATCAGATGCTTGATATACACCTCCTCTACAGCAGAGGGCAGCAAAGAGTGGAAAAAACACAAGCCAAGTGGAGAACAGAGAAGAGAGGAACTGTTGATTAGATGTTACAGTAATCAGAGTTGACAGACGTGCACATCGCTGCCTCTCACACATATCTGCACTGACAGATTTGATTGGTCAGACTGTCAGCTGAGTGTACCTCTCTCTGCGTTGTCATTGGCGCTGCCGCCTCTGGCCAGCAGCTGGGTCTGTAGGCACACGATCTCAGCATCTTTGGAGGCCAGGAGCTGCTGCAGCTCTGAGATTTCTGCCTGTGGAGGAAGTCAGAGTAGATGTCTGTGAACTGGGTCGATCTTCCAGGTCAGTGGATGTCTGTGAGCTGTAAGTGTGAAGCAACTAAGCAAATCGTTTTTCTTAAAAAGGAATCATTTCTAAAAACCAACCAGCCAACTGATGAGCCATCAGAGTAACACATAAAATGAGTTGTGAATTCTGAGATTATTCTATATTATCATCATTATTATTATTATTATTTGGCACTGAGCACCTTCTTTCAAATAAAAACTACACAATGGAAATATAAAACAAGCACTGAAAGCCACATGTAGCCAAGTTATTTTGGTTTTCTGCTTTAAATCAACCCCACTATTTCACTTTTTTACAATACTTTGTTAAAACAAACTCTACCACAGCTTTCTCCACACGATCTACATCACCACTCAAGCATCTATCCAATGGAAGTATTTCTGGCAAAAAAACACAATTTCTGACACGTACTACAGTCTCCACCCTCAGCTGTTAACTGTAACATGACTGACATTACTGCATTGTAGGGATGGGTATCAAAAACCGGTTCTTGTTGAGAACCGGTTCCCACTGTTTCAATTCCTTGGAATTGTTTGCCATTTTTGCAAACGATTCCATTATCGATTCCAGTCGCCCCGAATGACGTCACCATGTTGCGGAGCATCATTTACCTGGCAGGAAACACAGCGCCTAAGCGACTCAAACGCTCAAAAGTTTGGTTATACTTTACGAGAACAGATGACAACAGGGCAACTTGCAATACTTGAAAAGTAGATATTTCATTTAAGGGAGGAAACACTACGAATATGCAAAAGCATTTGCTCACAAAACACCCGATGACCTTAAATGAATGTCGTGTTTTTAATCCCGCTCGACTCGTGAATCTCAACCCAGCAGCAGCGGTAACGTTTGCACGTCCTCTCCCGTTAATGCGGCAGGTAAATAATCAACTAACAGTGCATATTACGTTAGCGCGATCTGCCTTATTACAAAACCTGCCATTACTGTGCATTTAGGTGACCATGATGAGACAGACAGACAGTCTGGCTCAGATGCTGCCAGTTCTCGCTGCAGTCTACCGGTAGCGTCTCCTTTCAGGCCAGGATAGACGAATGTCACCGAGCAGTGACTAAGTTTGTGGTAAAAGGCTTGAACCCATTTGCCACAGCAGATGCCCCGATTTTCGGTAAGTGAATGTGTTTAATTGTAGGCAGGGACATTACTGGATATTCTTGTGTAATTGCTACAGAATAATTTATGTTATACTTTGTTATTGCTACAGAAGAATATTTATTTTATTATTTTATATTTACAATTTTTTTTCCTGGGGACTCTGTGACCCCACAGAAAAGAGGCTGTGGATCTCGTAAGATCTCACTGTTGGGTTTGTAAGGCCATGTTACTCCTAAATTTCTATCTTGTTCAAAGAGAAGATATAAAACAAAGTTCTAAGCTATTCGACCTTAGTGTTCTCCTTTTTAAAAAAGAATCGATAAGAGAATCAATCGAATCGTTAAACAGAATCGAAAACGGAATCGGAATCGTGAAAATCTTATCAATACCCATCCCTACTGCATTGTGCCCAAACAGCTGAAAATGAGGCCAGGACGATGTGCCATAAACTGCACTTGGCTGTGGGAAGACTTCTTAACAAATTTATAGCATAGTACAAAAAGGTTTTGACAGATTGTTTCCTCTGAATAATTGGTTCAGTTTTGTTGAATGACATTCTGATATTTATTTGATCTATCACTAAGCAAATATGTGTGTTTCTGTGCACTGCATTCATACAGTTTACGTAACTTTAGCTTGCTAGCATTATCTGATAGCATAGCATGCCACCTTCTCATGCTAATATAGTTCTTTTTGGCTCCAAAAACAACATGGCAATGGTCAAACAAACAAAATTTGAGGTCCAGGAAACAATAGGTGGCATCACTTTCATAATGTCCATCTTTTATATACAGATGGTGTAAAAACTACATCGTTTTTGTAGATTTGGGGCAGAGGACATATTTAAAGCCCCACACAACACAGAACACCGCACATATGTGCGTTTGTTTTATGTGCATTTGTCCAGGTGAACTTTTGTTCTCCGCCCAGCAGTGACAACTTTCAAGAATAACCATTTCAAGATTATCAATCACGTCCATCTTTTATATACAGTCTACAGCCTAGTGACTAAGAGCTAAGAGCTCAGTCAGACCTCTCATCACTTTAACTGAAGCCAACACAAACGGACAAATTAGGGTACCGATGCTTCCGTGTAGGGAAAATTCAAATACAACAGCAAAAGGGAATGTTAGCATCAAAGGAAGAAACATCTTCTGCAGTATCATTTTTTAAAAGAAACAATAATACTGATATTTTATACATATGCAAGCGTTAAGCCTCTGTCTTATTTTTCAGTATTGACCCTCTAATATAATAAAAACTGCTGTACTTCAGTCTGCCTTCAGTCACATGCAATCCACGTTTTCTTTATCCATTACAACTTTCCTATTCTCAGATATCAGATTAAATGACTAAAGTGCCAAAATAAGAATTAAACAGGAAAACATTTATCTCCAAAAAATCATAAAGTGGACCCTGTTAATTAAGCTATTTGCTTGTGTCTGCTCTGAGGCCTTGACATGTTATGACAACCTAATCTGAGTTAAGATGAAAAGAATAGTAAAAAAAAGTAATCACACATTATGCTAACAAATACAGTGGAGGCAACAGCTGAAGACAACAGGTGTGTGTCAGACAGTATGTGTGTGCACAGACTGTATGGTGGCATGCTATAAGTGCAAACTTAACAATGCCTGCAGCTGCTCTGCAATAAAACCCAGAAGCAAAAACCTACAATAGGGTAAGAAGCAGGGGAAGCCAAAGAATAACTCAGAGATGTGCAGGGTTTTGTTACTACCATCAGATCTGTGTTTGTCTCGAAGGCTCCAAATATTACAGAGCATATAAAATAAAATGAAAGGCACCAGCCAGGAAATCTGCTGAAGTGAGAATATGTGGAAGGCATCATTACCGTGTTATATCCTTAGTGCACAATATGAACACAGTAGGGTCGCACAAACACACAGAACTGATAGAATCAAATAAATTCACAAAATCCATGCAAATGCACACTAAAAATCACAACGACGGGAAAGAAAAAGCCACAAGTAAAAGGATGGAATCTACTGGTTTCTGCTTTTAAAAAATACAAACCTTGTCCTTATCAAAACCAGTGTAGGTTTTGATTTATTTATTTATTGTGTAGGTTTCTCTGTCCAGTCCCTTCCTGCTCAAAGGGACAGGACAGAGCTTCACAGCTATCGCAAGACCAACAAAAACAAATGCAACTAAGGAAACTAAGGAAAGAAAAGAAATGAGGAAAAAACACGAGAAGGGGAGGAGCAAGACGAGAAAAGTAGAAAAGAAGAGGCCAAACATAACACTAATCATAGGAAAGAAATCAACACGGGGAGATGACAAGTGGCAAGAGCAGGAGAGGAGGAAGAGGAGGCACCTGTGCGCTGCGCCAGCGCTCCTCCCAATGCTGCTTCTCCAGCTGTGTGTGCTCGACAGTCAGCTTGAGGCTGGACAGCTGGGTCATGAGCGACTGGTAACACACATGGAGAGAGTAAGAGATAGAGAGCTAGAGAGGGAGAGAAGACAGGAAGAGAGTAATGACGGGGAGAGATTTAGGGATGTGAAGAGAAAGGAGGAGCGGAAAAAAGTGAAGAGAGCAAGCCGCAGAGAGGGGTTAGTAGAGAAGAGGAGAGGAGGCGGATAGTGAAGGAGGGAGAGAGGAGGAAGGAAGCACTGTAAGCACAGAGAAACCAATGGCAGTTTGACCTCCTTCAGACAATATCCAACAATATGTTAGAGAGAGACTCTGTCATAACAAAGGAAATGAAGCTGCACGTCTCTGCTGCTGAGAAACACAGATGAGTGAAGCTCTGATTATTTCATCCTGATGAATGAAGGTTAAAGAAATTCACCTGGTGACAGTCTGATCAAATTATCGAACGTTTACGTATAACATCACAGTAACACCAGCTGTTAATTTTATCTTCTGTTACAGTATCCAGCATCCATTCTTGTCTACATCTGCTCTATTTCCTTTTTCATATGTGCAATTATCAGATTAGGAAGTCCGTCCTTTACACAGGTTTGCTGCAGTGACTTCACAGGCCAGTTTCCACATTTTGAAAAGTCTTCTTCCGGCGAGTTTGATGAGAAGTATACACCACACTCACATCTATGATATGAAGTTAGTCAGATTAGTTTAGAGCAATGTTTGGGTTCGTTTAATGTAAGTCTGGAAGAAAAGGGGAAAGGAAACCCACCCTAATGAAAACTTCAGAGCTCATTAAGTCCCATTTTTTTATTCATTTTTTATTTGTTCTATTGTATTCTACACAAAATAACTCTCGAAAAAAAAGCAAGAGCTGCATTTTATTAAAAATAGTGGAAAAACACAACAAATCTCAAAACTATATATGCGCTCCTTACAATTTCACATCAATAATGCAATTTAACTTAAATTTAAGAAACGCCAAGAAAATACCAGATGGAAAATCTCAGAGACTAATGAGCTCACTTAGTGATGTTGTTGGATATTAAAAAAAAACATCTTAAAGAGGCCGAGCTGTTCAGAAGAAAAACTCGGAAGGGACTAACTGCTCCGTGAAAAACTATGTGGGCAAAGAGTTCAACAATTTAAGGGTAAAAGCTTCATAAAATAACAAAAGATTAGAGAAGTTCAAAGTATCGGGGCATTGCATCATAAGATTTAAAGATCCAGAGATTCTGGAGACACCTCTAGACCAAGTACCAAGGCTAAAAACCAATGAAACGCTGCAATTTTGGGGCCCTACGACAAGTGAAATGGACATCTGTGAAGACACCACTAATACTAAATGATGTTTACAGATTTTGGAGTAACATTGAAAGAACTTCTTTCGCACAGAAGACAATGCCAAACCACAATTTACATGTTTTCCAGCAGTAGTGAAACACATTTTTAAGTCTTCATATTCAAAAATATAATAAGATTTCTCAGTTTCAACATTTGATATGCTTTTTGTATATGTTACACAGCATCCCAGCTTCTACAAACAGATTTTAAGTATATGTAAAATGCATTTTACACTGCTCTGTGTGCTTTAGCGAGTACCTTGGTGGCTCTTAATTTCCTCTCATATTGGCTCTTCTCTCCCTCCAACTCATCCACTTTGCTCTTCAGCTGCTTAACTTCTTGTTGCAAATCCTGCAGAAAAGCCAAACCATAGCATTCTTCAGTTAGCCGGACCACTTTACATACATGTGCACAATTACGAAACTTTTCTGATGTTTCAAGCAATTCTCAAAAAAAGTTATACATTTCATCTACATGTCACAATCGGCACCAGGTTCATCTACATGAGTGGGCACGCATGCCAGCATATAAATGGGAGGGTATTCAAACACCAGGTTCACATTCAGTGCAGTTATAAAGGTCCCCGGGGCCAGACAGTGGTTAATAAAGGAAACAAGATCCTCCTGAAACAGACACCACAACGTGCAGTTAACAACCAGGAAACCCAGAACACTACTGAAAGCCTTCCGGGTCGCACATCTGCCAGCTGCGCACTGCCACCATCTGGGGGAAACTTTGGACAGCAGGGTTATAGGGACCGTAACATGACCCATCCACCTGGTCAGTGTATTAGGAAGCTGACAGATGTAAACTTTGTTAGTGGAGGAATCACTGTCATGCAAGGAAACCACATCGAATCTAATACAAAACACAATTCTGGTCCTAAAGGCAAGCTTGAAAGGATTTATAGAGACAACATCCTGATCGGTGCTGAAATACATTCCAAATGTTTCAAATACTTGAGGAGTTCACTCTACGTCATACTGCTGGAAGACTTTTTAGGTAAATAACTCCTCAAATGTATGGAAGCATTTAGAAAACCCAATCGAAAGCCTCAATCACTGCAAGAACCAGAGCAGAGTGTGACCCCAACATCCTGCAGTACACATACAGACACTACAAGAGAGGTTGTTAGCTTGATTCTGTGGAATATTCCAAATACCGGGTGGTGTGTGGACTGGTTAAAAGGGAAGAAGAGAAGAGAAGAAATGATGGGGAAGGAGGGTAAGATGAGTTCATCCATCAAGTCTCCCTACGTGAACAGTCTTTCCTCCATTGTGCTGCCGAGCATCAGAGCCAGACAGGCTCAGGTCCAAGCCGACCAACCCAACTTGAGGGCTGTAGCCCTGGGCTTGGCCGTCTCTTGGCTCCCCCTGCTGGGCCTCCTTCTCCTCCAGGGCCCGTTTCTCCTGAATGCGAGTGCTGATCTCCTCCTGAAACCTGCACATCTGCTCCTGGAGCTCACTGATGAGATTTACCACACACTGGGAGGGTTGGAAGACAAATGAAGGGTGGCAGAAGAGGTGAAATGGTGAGATGAGGAGAAGAAAAGAGGAATAAATGAAAGTCAGTTGAGAGGAGGAGAGGAGAATAAAACATGAACTTATTTGTTAATCAGTCAGTACAGGGAAAATGGTTGATGCCACATCTGGATCACTGTTGGCCATTTGTAGTAGAAAACACATAAAAATCTTGTGAAACACACAAAGCACAAAGATTTACACAAACACTTGAAGCGGAAGAAAGAAATGCTTAAATTCAACTGGAGAAAATGTTAGAATCCTAGAAAAGAAGGAGCATTACACCTCAGCACATTGACAAACAACTGAAAACACAAGAGTAACTTTTACTCCTTTAAAAACTTTTGCATTATGCAATGCCCTCCTCTTGCATTAGTGCTGTAACGGTGAGATTGTGGGAGACAGATGCAGGCAAGGCATCATGCCTCACCGTCTTACATTGTTGAAATAGTGTGAAAAACAGATCTGTGCTCAGCTACAGCGTGAGTGTTTCTGCGCCACCTCCCTGCTGGCTCAATGTGACCACTGACAGGAAAGGAGCGACCACTTTATTCTTAAGGTTAGTCTGGGGTCAGAGGAAAAAGCAGGAAGTCTAGTGGAGTTTGGAGAGCAGCGGTGATCAGACAAACACCTCCTGTCAGCCAGAATTAGAGTGGGGTGGTTAAGAATGGGTTGTATTGTTTGGGTGAACTGTGCTCCAACTGAGTGGATGAATCATTGTGTCCAATTAAATCAAGACAGTGGTCACAAATCACTAATTTGTCTCAGAGGGTTTTCCCAGTCGAACCAGCTTTTGTACAGGAATTAAAGATCGAAAGGTCAAACACAACACGACACTTTAGGCGTTCCAAAAGTCCTCAACCAACAAGTCTGTCATGCTGATGCACTTAGTGATTTTGCATTGTACTGGCTGTTAAGCTAATGTCGAGCGTATCCACTGAGGACAGATCAGGGCTAGCATCTGTCTTCTGCTGACATTAGAATAGTTTCCATGGCAACTTCTGATGTTGCACAATATAAGTATGATACCATATTGTAAATATAAAAAATGGCAATAGGAACAAGCTGCCAAGATTTCAGTCTCTGTCATTGTGATTCGTGGCCTATTTTACATTTTACATGAAAAGCAGCTCAGCAGGCAGGGCTGTTTTAAACCACATAAAATCCACATTTCAGGCATCTAAAGCATAATTTTGTTTAAGTAATAACCCCATCTGGCGCACCAGGGTTATTATAACATGCCTGAGCTCCAGCCAAGTCTAGTCGCATGGGAAACAGAGCCGTAACCCAGAATTTAGACCAATAAAACAAAACAAGACAGGATGTAAAGACAGGAAAAAAACAGAGCGTACAATAAAGAAGAGACATGAAGGTGCACAGAGCAAAGTCTCTAACTGTTCTTTTTGTTTACACACATTAAATGTTGAGCAAACTGTTGGTCTAAGAAAATGTCACAGCTCAGGGGAATCTTGTTCCTGAAAAGTGGTTGCTTTAGTACTTAAAGGTGTTCGTGAGACGGCAGCGAGCCTGTGTGTGGTGTTGGTGTGGTTTCCTGAGGTGAAAGTGTTTGGCCCCGAGGAATGCTCAGAGTGGATGCTTGCCATTCCTCCTGACAGCCTACCGGAGCCTCGCAGCTGTTACTAACCACACACACAGACACACGCACAGACACACACATCCTGACTTTACTGACAAAAATGCAGACCGGTGTCAGCCCCATCATAACGTAAACAAAGCAAAACACCTCAGCTGCACACCGGACATGTTGGTGAGTACGTATGTGCATCTCAATGCTGAATCAATACTAAACCAAGACAGCACCAACTTATAAAAACAGCTCATTGACAGGACTGATGTTAGATTTATGTGGTGGAGCCTCAAGCTGAGAGAATAGGCCTCATGATCCTGAAGCAGCCTGAAAAACAGACTAGATAAAGTGAATAAGTGCCGCCCAATTCCTGTTGAAGTTTGTGCTGCTTTTTTACATTTTTTGCAATATAACCTATTAAAAAAGGACTGCTTGATAATATCCTGCACTATTTTGTTTAATCTGCCTGTTAGATTTAATGACTCATTAACTGAAGGTGCCGAAATGCTGTTCCGGATTGTTCCAGCTCATTGGCTACATGAACTCATGCATGTAACCTAAATGGATTTTTTGGATACATTTCAGCACCAAAACTACTGTGTTAGGTACAGGCATGATGCCTTGGGTTAACAGTAGCCACATGCTAGAAAGTGACAAGATTGCATGTAAAAGATGGGAACATGCTGCAAATATATTTCTAGGAGCACACAAACGGATTTACTAACACCTGCAATATGCAGGTTACTGCTAATTGCACCAGTATTTAATGCTGAAAACAGGTATTGCATTTTTTGTGCTGGATATTAAAATGAACTGACCACCCGTGCTAAGCAAACAGTGCAACTTTTGCAAATCACTATTTTAAACCAACATTTTAAACATCAATTTAACAGTAGTGTGAGACAAAGTGGTGCAGCTAGCATGACGTGAGTAGAAAGTGCCAAGATGTTGGCACTTTCTACTCAAACCAAGGGTTTGCAGGCAGTTTTCTTATGAAATAAGGATCATGTCAGGTACACTAAACTCAGGTTCACTGTACCTGAAATGGTATCTGAAATACTGGACAGCTCCCAGGATTTATTGACAGAATGTGGCTTCCTGACTGAATAAAAAAGTTTTCTGCTAAGACAAATGTTCTTCTTGTTATTGAGTGAATGTGAGCTTTGCACAAGAAGCAAAGTCAGCTCACACTTTTTTTTCTCATAGAATCCGACATCGCTGGCAGTCACGTCCTGCAGGATTTGCAGTGTGGCTATCATGCACGTTCAGTTAATGTGCACCTTACAGGTCAGAAAACAATATTTCAAACTACATCCTGTCACTTTTTGTACATCAGCCGTCTGTTCCTTCTTTTTTCTCTGTCCTCTCTCTTTTCGTCTGTTCCCTTCACTATCTCCTCCCCTCTGTCTCCTTCCGCTGATGCTTATCACACTCCATCCATGTGCGGTTGCAGAGTATGGGCCCCTGCGTGTCAAAAATGCTGTATCGTGTTTATTCTATCAGAGCACGGCCCTGGATGGCTTGTGATAGCTTTACACACAGACACACACACGCACACACAGCGAAACCACATGAGCAGCCTTAGTATCCGTTTGTGCCAGTGGGAAGCAGCTGGGTGTCACAATGAACAAAGTCCACACAAAGAAACTAGTGAAGACAAGCAAAGGCTGCTCAGCCGGACTTGGTTGGAATGCGTGTATGTGTGCATCGTTATTGTGCGTTCTGTCAGTGAGGGAAACAGCATCCTAATGTAACTCTCACCTTCACCGAGGCCCAAACCTGTTGCTGAGCTGAGCAGTCGTTTTCACCTACAATCACTGGCCACTTCATTGGGTACACCTGTTCAAGTGCTTGCTAATCAAAATAGCTAATCAGTAAATCAAATGGCACCAACTCAATGGATTTAGGCATGCATGCATAGTCAAGATGACCTGCTGAAGTTAAAACTGAGGACCTACATGGTTGTTGGTGTATTTCAGCGGGTGCTGATCTACTGGGATTTTTCTGCATAACCATCTCTACGGTTTACAGAGAATGGTCCAAAACAGCGGTCCCCAACCTTTTTTTGCTCCACGGACCGGTTTATGCCCGACAATATTTTTACGGACCGGCCTTTAAGGTGTCGCGGATAAATAGAACAAAATAAAAGAAGTTTTAAGAAAAGAAGATTTATTCATAACACGTGAAAAGACCCAGGAAAACAGAGTTAACGATAAAAACGATAACAAAAAAATAAAAAAAATAACGCTGAAAACCCTGAAAACCATACATTTCACACCTGAGCCTCAACTCTCGCGGCCCGGTACCAAACGACTCACGGACCGGTACCGGTCCGAGGCCCGGGGGTTGGGGACCGCTGGTCCAAAAAACTGAAGATACCCAGTGAGTGACAGTTATCTGTGAGAAAAAAACCTTGTTGATGCAAGAGGTCAGACATGAGCAGCGGCTTTGAGATTATGAGAAGGCAACAGTAACTTGAATTACTGTTATTATTATTATTATTATTATTATTATTCCTCACAACCAAGGTTTAAGATCGCCTCTCAACATGTCAAAGCTTGAAGCAGAGGAACTACAGCAGCAGAGGACTACACCAGGTTTCACACCTGTCAGCTAGAAAAAGAAAACCGAGGGTACAGTTTAAATGGGCTCACCGAAATTGGAGAGGATTGGAAAAATGCTGCCTGGTCTGATGAGTTTTCTGCCGCAACATTCCTGGTTGGATCAGAATGTGGTGTGAACGGCATTAAAGCTCCAGCCTGGCTTCAGGTTGTTGGTGGTGTAAAAGTGTTGGGGGATATTTTAATGACGCACTATGACACACTCACTTAAATGCCATCGCCTACCTGAGTACTGTTGGTGACCAAGTCCATCCCTACATAACCACAGTGTACTCATATTCTAATGGCTGCTTCCAGCGGGATAATGTGCCATGACACAGATCGTATTAAAATGGTTTCTTGAACATGACAATGAGCTCACAATACTTAAATGGAGGGTGTTCACTTTTCTGTAAAAGTCATGACGGCCATACTAGAATTATTGATTTCTTGACTTCAAAAGGTGGAAGGGCTTTAGGTGCACCAGGTATTAGTGAGGCTCGTGAGTTTCAGGTGTTTTTTCACAGTTTCAGTTAATTATTTCTAAAGTCTCCGATCAAAAACAAAAACTGTTCCGCTGACTCTTTGCAGGATGTGAGCAGGGTGGTGCTTAAACTACTGTTTGATGTGTTCTGGCTTGTTTCAGAGCCTCACCAGTGAAGTTTGTACCCCATCCAGACACATTTCATCATTACCTTTGCCAGTCAAGTTGGCCAGAGGGTGGGCATGTTTTCACCATCTGCCTGGTTATTATCTGGGTGACAGATATTTCAGGATCGCAAGACAGATTCTTCATTTGGCCTCTACGATTTCCATTTAAATGTGGGACAAAAACTGTGGGAAAATCCTGCTCGTGTGACTTTTTCACTGGTTTAGTGGGTAAACCAAACCTGAAAAACAACAAAAGTAACAGCAGGCTGCTGCTGTGGAAACGAGAGTCAACATGAGAGTTTCTAGAGAAAGCTGTAACGGTTTTTCCTTTTTGTTACACATGGCTTAAAGACAAACCGCTATACAAGCGTAAAAAGTTTAACCGTTACCATGAAACTTCAGCAACTGAAAGGATTTTTTTAGAAAGATAGCAAGAGGTCTGTAAGTAAATCTTTGAATAAGAAAATTATGAAATCTGTACTAATTTGCATAAATTTCCAACAGACAAGTGTACAAGGTTTCATGTACAGACTGTGCCTTGTGTGAAATAGCCGTTGCCTATACAATAATGTACTTACAACTCTGAGGCTGATAAGAGCCCTGTGAATAGACCCGGTTAGCATCAAACACACATTCCACCAATCACACTCCTCTTTAGCGGGATCGTCTGCCACCAGCCGACAGGTGAGGTCTCACAGACAGGCGATGGGAGGAATCAGCGCCTCATAGTTTAATCCACACATTAACATTTGTTTTCCTTCTTTATAAAAAGCTTGGATGAGAGAGTATAACTTGTGAGAACAAGCACAGACGCAGAAACCAAAGTTGCAGAAAGAGTTAAAAAGCAGACATGTAGTTACTGTTATATCTGTAAGCCACAATATTGCAAATACATATTATACAATAACATAATAATCCCCCCTCCCCCCAATCTGTGCCTTTCTACTGTGACAGCAGTAGCCCCTGGTGAATGTGCATGTTCCCTCCTGGCTTGGAGACAAAAAACACAATAAAACCAGACAAACAGCTTACATACATCCTTAGACAGCATGTCTGAACTTCCCAAGAGCAGTACCACAGGATGCGTGTCCCTAAATAACCCCTCATGGAACATACGGAATAAAGATTATTAAGCTTTATTTGAAAAACAGTGGTAAAAACAATTGTGTTGTCTATTGATGTGCATTTTGAAGGTGATTTCATTCAAACAAAGCGGTGGCTGCAGACCTGATCATACCAGCGATGATGTTTTTGTTCCACTGGTTGCTCTTTGCAGCTGATAAATAGCCCAAACTAGCAGAAATGTAGTGAAGGATCACCCAGGCAAACACAGCTGAACAGTTAATGACAGTTGTGATTATTCAAGACGCTAATATCACATATTCTGATGTTGCATTACGGAGTTTTAGAGTTGGGCAAGATGAAAAGTATGAGACAGTCGGTATCTGGCCTTTCCACCTAATGAAGTACCTGAAAATCAATGTGTATAATCAAAGTACCAATAACTGTTTAATACCAACAAGTAAGTTAAAATAATACTCTTAAGCTGTGCCCTAAAATTAGATGGTTTATTTCCCAACCATAAACAGGATTAACTGTGCAAAGTAAAATGTTCATCCTCCTGTTATTTAACTCTACAATACATCAATATGTACACAGAAGGGAAAACTTCCACTCAGGCAAGTGTGGCAGGGATCTTGGCTTATAGCCCATTAAACACAGACATCATACAAGTTTTCCATTTCTAGATCAAAGACTTGAATGTGTTTGAAAGCATGTTTGTTGACTTTGCGTACCTCAGCTTTGTTCTGCTTTGTGTCTGTCGAATCCTGAGGGTGTGAGTTGGTTTGCGTCTCCTCCATGCTGACCAGCTTCAGTTTGAGAAAGGACACCTCATCCATCAGATCCAGCTTCTGAGTTTCTAGCGAGGTCCTGCTCATCAGCTCCTGGGAGAATCACATGTGCACCATCTAAGTCAGATGCATGGGAAGCAAACACGCAACTTACTCAAGCTAGAGCAACGCAGATTTTGGAGATCGGTGTTGTGAGACTAAGCAGGCTACTCCACTCAGCGTATTGTTGTTCCCACACTAACAGAGCAGAGCGGTTGGGGCCCAGACCCCACAAAGCTAAATATATACACACACACAAGCGTGCTAGAGACTCTATTAATATATGCCTTCTTTGGTATGAGAGAGAGTAAAAGAAAGAGCATCTAAAAAAGAGAGAGAACGAAAAAAAGCACTCCACTGGACATGAAGGAACGTTTTTCTGACTCATTCAAAACTCTGTTGCTTTCAATTCCTCATCTAAACTCCTTTAAATTGCACTTCCTTCTTTCTAAACTCAAACTACAGTTGACCTGGATTGCTGATTAAGCCTTTAACGTCCATCTTCTTGCTCCATACTTGTTTAGTATGAAACATTTAGAAAGAAATGGGAAGAAAAAACACCCCCAAACAGACCAAATATGAACTTACCAGCTTTTTGTGCACCAATTTAAAAAGCTTAATAAGGAAAAACAAAATTGGGACACGTGTAAAAACTAGGACTGCCAACTCAAGTGTGACCCCCACTCATGATAATATAACAATAACTGTGGAAAAAAAATTACAACTTTATATGATTCCAGGAGGTTTGGTTCTGGGGCAATGGTGTCGAATGGCGGTGGCTAAAGCTGCCATATCCCTGTTACTTTTAACTTTGCTAAACAGGACAAATGTCGTTGATATATGCAGGACTCAGCTTGTCCAGTTAAAGCAGAGCACTCGATTAGACCAGCTACGCCCTGTAGTCACACATGTGCGAGTCAAAACGCACAGTTGGGTATTTAACCGAGCAGTTAGCGTTAGCTCAGAGCGCTGTGAAGGCAAAGAGGAGTGGGAGCTTTAGAAAGAGCACAAACAAATCTGAAAATGAACTAACAGAATGAAGGCTCGCAAAAGTTCACCTCTTTCTAGTCCAGTCCTTCAGTCAGAAAAGCAACAAAAGCCAAGTGAGTGAGTCAGTGTAACGTAACCGCTTTGTTATGGGAAGTGATTTTCCCGTAGAAGTTGCCGCTTTGACAGAAATGTTTTTGCTGTAAGAGGTAGTCATATTTTCTTTAGTCACAGTCAGCAGTAGGTACTGAAAGTCTTTTACTGAGAAAGCAGAGAGCTGTGATGAAGTGCAAACTGAGGCTGTAAACATACATTTTCTGCTGTTTAATAGTTTTTAATATATCAAACTCTTGTTTTAAATCTCTCGTAGAGACATCGGATAGGCAGACTTTCTCAATGCCTCCAAATCGAGCTACTTTTATGTTGTCACTTATGTTTCATGAGCCTTTGATTATTTTTGTGTGCTTTTACTGTACTTGTTTGCAATTCTTCATTTTCTTTGTTCTGCTTTTAACTGTCTTGTGCTCTCCCTCCCAGTTTTCTGTAACCTTTAAATGTTTCTCAAACGTTTTATTACTGTTTGTTTTACCGTGACTATCTTGTCTTGTGAAGCATCTTGTAGCCTTATAGTTGAGCTATATAAACGTATTATTAATGCAAAACTTTTTTGAGATGGTTTTGGAGCAGAACAACAATCAGAATCATTTTTTGCTTCTCTATTTTTTCATTTGTGCGTGCACATTTTCAAAATGCCAAATGAATCAAATTCAATAAAAAAGATGCTGGGATTTTTTTAGAATTATAGCCACACACTTCTCACATGAGCCTATTTTAAATAACATATATTTAAGACAGAAATTCAATGACTTGTGAGCGGTCAAATAAAGTAGATTACTGTCCATTAAATGTCAGACAAGGAATTTCTTTCTAAACGGAAACATCACATAGTAAACAAACTGTGTCAACACCACAGCCACACAAATGAACAACTAAACCCCATAATCACTCCAGCTCAGCAGCCACACACACACACACACACACACACACACACACACACACACACACACACACACACACACACACACACACACACACA